TATCCACAGGCATTGTCATTGAAGCTGCATTTGGTATTCTACTTCCTTTTGAATTTCTTTTATATGATAGAAAACGATTTTTTCTCTTTGAATGATAAAAAGTGTTAGTTTTTATCTCTTTCATATGTTCCTTTTCCCATATCGACAGACGATCATTTTTGTACAACTCTTATCTAGTGATTACAGAATGAGAGATCCTATTCATAAGGTTACACATAATCATAAAAGGAAAGTTTTAACTACCTACTACAATTCTTCCGATGAATACCTATCAAAATATTTCGAATAAAGACTTGGCATAATTTATCCTATACAAAGAAAAGAAACTATTTAACAATAGAACAAGAAAAATCCTTAAGATACCTCAAGCAAACAGAAGACCGTATCTGCTGAATGTCATATAATAAGCCTTAAGTCTTTTACTTCGATCATCATCGTAAGGTAAACAAACATGTGCATCGTACTAAAAAATGAGTTAAGAAGTAATTTTCGAATCCTGAATAAATGTTTTATAGGTGGTGATTTTAGATGGAAGACAGCATGCTAATTGCTCAGTTCATTTGCCACTACTTTCATGTCATTATAATTTCTAACTAGGTACTTGCTTGAATTCAAGTAGATAGAGCATGTTTGCCTAAGCTTAAAAGTTACTTTTAAATAATTCTTTATTCCCAAGATATGATTGAGGGTTTTCAAATGTTACCTTTTTTTGGGATTTCATGTACAAATTTTTGCTTTTGTTGACAGTAAGTATTTACTCATTAATTTCTCCATTTTTTTAGTGGTTCTCTAGAATTTTCCTTCGAAGTGATGCGTACCATACTGAGTGTTCATCATAACATGCTAAGAGCCACTAACTAACAACGTGATATAATTTGAGTGAGGTTGTTTGATGGAAAGTTAGGTTAAATGCAGAAAGATAATATCGATCTGAGGCTTAAGTCTTCATTGTAGTGTTGATATTTGATGAACATTGACATAAAATAATAACAATATGTAATGACAGGATATTGTTAGCTTATCAGAATGGCTTGCTGAATTTTCAAACTGCATTTTCTTTATGAGTAAAGCCACTTTACCTGAAAATGGTTGACACCTTGGGTGACTGACCCTCACATTGCGCGTGAGTCCCGCGTGAATAAAATAATACCCGACTCCCAAGATGTGTGTGTTCAGTCATCCCCTATGTTCGTGTAGGATGGTTCTTCCTTTATGAACTAAAAAATGTTATTAATAAGATTACAAGAAGAGATTGTTAGGTTCGTCTCGGGGAATGAATTAGCAGCCTCCGGTCAAGATTTTTAGATGAACATCAACACTCTCCACGTAGAATTGTCTCATATAGTAGCATTATTGCTATAGTTTTGTTGTGAAAGAAAAATAGTTTCTTATTGAGTCAAAGGAGGACAACCGAAATGTATATCAAAAACAAATTGTTAGAAGTGTTGACATTGGTATTGAAATTGATAGTTTCTGAATATACGATGAGACCAACATTCCTTTTTATTCTTTTGGTATTTTATAAATGGTTGTGTTGACACAATGTACCATATAAATATTCCAATCTCACTCGACCTGAACATTTTACTTATAATAAACAGAAAACAAAAGTAAGATTAATCAAACAGAAGCACCAAGGGGTGTTTTCGGAGGAGACAGATTCATGGTGTCTTCTAGTCTCAATCAAAGCAGCAAACATCTCATCCCACTTTTTGTAGAGGTCAACATTCTTCATTAATGACAGTTAGCACTAAAAAGTTTGACGCCTCTTTTTGGGAGGAGACACTTTTTATAGGTTATGTTTGGTACAAATTCCCACTTTTAACAGTAAATTAATTCTCATTTTCAACCACACATTCTTCAATAAAATAATATTTTCTATCACATCAATAATCTTATCTTCTTTTTCAACCACACATTTCCCATCATTTCACTATTCAAAATCAATTCTTCCCCCAAAAAATCCCTACCAAACACACACATAGTATCGTCTTATCCTTTTGTATTAATGAAATGTATATTGATGTATTTATGTGCACCTATATGTCTCTGTCTGCCTATCTCTTACCCTCTCCCACCCCACCCACACGCATGAAGACGCACGGACAAGCTCACAAACTACATTAACAGTAGACAGTAATGTTTGCAAAGTGATATTTAATGCATATTTGGTAGGGAAGATTGAATAGCGTTGGATAGTTAGTTAAAACCTTATTTATCGTAATGTCATTGAGTCTTGTCCAGTGCTACTGTGTCAACATACACTTAGTGAATATAATTTATTTTACTTCTCGTTGACTGCAGGATAGAAGAAGTCAATACAGGCTGTGTGATAAGCAGCATAATGGGAAGTTTATGAACATGAGTGCACGCCCATCCCTTTTGAAAAGTTCAGTTTGTACAGTTGGGGATTCTTATCATATTTGGAAATACCATAGCCAAGCATGTTTGGAAGTATATATAAACGGTTTAAACTATAAGTAATTAGAAATGAGTGATGAATAATTACGTAGTACTTGTAAATCACATGAAACGTGTAGATAAAAAGTAATTTGATCGATTATAAATATTTTTTAAACATTAGCCTAACATAGGACCTCTGGAGATAAGCTACTTTGTGTGCTGATTATGTTGGAAGATGTCCTCATATGTCAGGTGCCAAGAGTTCCTCATTAATTAGACGTCGGACGAAGTTTTTTGTTGATAACCTTGGACTAATGGATTGAACGTTGATTAATATGAACCATTTATTTGGTTTCATTTTTCTCAACAGTCAGTTTGATATATGACTTTGAAACTTGGGAAAGATAAAAAGTGCAAATTCTTTTAAGTTAATGTAATATGTGAAACAAGCTTGTGCGCCTAAGTATACCGTTTGATAGAATTTTTAGATTTTTATAGTGTTTGAGTTCTATTTTAAAAAAAATGTCAACTTTGTTAAGAGAAACAATTCAAATTCTTGTATATTGATTGATATTATCATATTTAAACGGAGGTGAAGAAATAACACTCTAATCTAGGAGATGTTACTCGAGATAGCTGCAGGTCTTCGAGAGGCTGCTGTAGTTAGATGCTGTTGGGAAGTCCTGCATAGCATCCATCGGTATGCCAGTCCATGGAATTCATCTCTATGAATCTATTTGGAAGGACGATGATTCCTGCATGAAGTAGGAATATTCTATGCTCGATTTTACCTTATCTGTCTAAAATAGTAATTTAAGAGCATCTCCAATAAATTCTCTATTTTTAAAGAACACATTTTACAATGTAGAGAGCATCTAAAGATTAAGAGAGTAAGAAATTTTTAAATACTCCAACATTTTCTTCATTTTCAACACCTAATTTTATTACTCCCTTTATGGATTTTTTTTTAATCTTTTATTTTCAGAAAATCTCATATCATTATATTATTTTCCTTTATCTTCTTAATATATACTATTTAGTTGGATTAGTATATGCAGCATTGAAAATTAAAATAATTTGAATATATTTAATTATGTAGAGTCTTTTAAACTATAATTTTAAGATTGATTCTTTAAAATATAGAACGTTTTATTTTAAAGAGTTTCTTGAAGATGTCTTAGCCAGTTTTTTTTGTGTAATGGCCGCCTCCTTGTTTAAATATCATACAAATTAATTTATATGAAACCCTATGTGCACGTATGGTCTTAGCCACCACGATCCAATGACTCATTCTGCTGATGTAATATAAAAAGACAGAAAAATTCACTTAATTAAGAATTAATTAGTCTCCATTCTTGGAACAAACAACTGTGTATTTCTCTAAACTGTGTAACAAATGACCCCATCGAGGAACAGGATAATATATGTGCTTACGCGATTAGGTAAATAATATAGTAATTTAGGGGGACCCAAATGCTTTAATAATCTTTCTTGGTGGGGCCTAAATTAATATGAACCACAAAGAAAACCAGTAAATTAACGCCTATGTTTGGCTCAATAAATGAATGTTATAAACTGTTTATAAATATTTAAGTTATTTTTGAATTCAAACATTTTGAGGGATTCATGAGTATCATTCACTTATTGATCACTTATTTTTATCTATTTATAATTTAAATAGTTTATACACACTTCCAAACATGCTCTAATCATTCGATGTGTTGAACCATGGTAGTAAATCTTGATTTAGAGACATAAATGTGCCATCTCTTTAGAAAGATGAAATAGTTTAACAAAGTGTAATATTAGATGAAAGTGGATTAACTATCATATGTTCATGAAAAATTTGCACTTGTCAGACGTTTGATGAGAAGATTTTAATTTATTTTCTTTTCTAAGCATGCTATGGGAGGTATTTTGTGCCCAACAGTAACTCGATTACGTAATTTTTTTTTTCTTTTTTATAAATAATAGAAGAATATGTGCACTAGTTTTGAAAAAATTATTTATACGGTATGTAACGAAAATATTGAAGACAAAATTTCAATAATACTAGACAATCAAATAATAAAAATAGTCGCAAATTTTAGCTGGTTTTTTTCTTTCTTATATATGTTCATTCTTAATCATTGCAAATGTCAATCAATATAGCCCCTGTTTGGTTCAGATTAAAATTTAAATCAAAGTCTAACAATTAATTTTAATCACATATTTTATGAGATTCACAATTTTTCAAATATATATATTTCATCAAATTTTATAAAAATTTACTAAAAAATTGATTTTTCTCTAAACCAAACATGACATAATATAATTTTAATCATTATAGGGACAAATAGTAGAAGAACATGTGCACAAGTTTTGCCTTAGACATGACTAGAAAATGTATATAAAAAGAAATATGATGTATTGCCTTCTTTAGCTCTGCATGGGACACTCGAGTTGCTTATTCTCGTCCCAAGTAGCTTAACCTTTTCATGAAGGGTTACACTCTAATTCTTTTCTCTCTCTCCTCTTAGAGAGTGAATAGGAAGATTAATGTCCCAATATTTAAGGAGAGAGACAGAGAGACAAAAACAATATTCAGGGAGACAGAGATGGGCGGAGAGATGGGTTTCACGGCAGTTTTAGGCGAAATTGTGCCATCCACTTCGATGGTGATGGTGGAGGGTTGCACCATTGGCCTAACTATATTGGCTAGCACCGCCATGGCTAAAGGAATGAGCCCTTTTGTGTTTGTTGTCTACAGTAATGCTGTTGGCTCTATCATATTACTTCCTTATTCCTTTCTTTATGATAGAAATACGTATGATCTCTCTCTTACGTTCACTTACACTTGCATATCTTATATTTCTCGAAAGAATGATTGTCTTTAATGGGATTTGATATAAGATTGATGAGACTCTTATTGAAATATTTTTTTTCTAACCCACAATTGCACACAGAATTATGCTACAATGATAGAAAAGTTGACATAATATCACATAACATTTTATCGTTGGACCGTTTAAAAGTCAACGAGCTTTTCCATTCAATTGTCTTCTACTACCATTTCAGTTGTCACTGCCTCTGAATTCTTTCTGGGAAAGTGACATAATCCTTGCATTCATGCTTAAAGCTTTAATTAGTCCCTAGCTAGACAATTCATGTCAAGATTTATCTCTTTGCAGAATGGAAATGCCATTATTGACCTTATCTTTTCTCGTTCGAGTGTTCTTCCTTGGTTTAATCGGGTTCGTTCTCTCTCAAGTTTGATCTGTTTCTTTGTTCCCGTGCCTGATAAGAAGGATTCAATATGATATAGAATGATAAAAATATCAAGTTAATGATGTTCTTAATGATATGACGATCAATAAGTTCGACTAATTTTAAGTTATTATATATCTTGGTGGAACTAAATTTTGCAGGGTGACAATGGCACAGAACCTTGCGTTTCTTGGTCTAAGTTACAGCTCTCCAATTGTTGCAATTGGCATGGCTAACATAATCCCTGCTATATCTTTCCTTCTTGCTATAATCCTCAGGTTCTTTCTCAAACTCAAACTTTTAGAACACCTAAAAATTTATTTATTAAAGTTTAATTTAAACTCTTTGTGTGAAGTTCGAATTCATTCTTATTCAAAATCATGACAAATACTCGAAACCCACAACTTTATGCTCTAATACTTGTTAAATCACATGATTTAAAAGTTTAAACGGTTAAAGTTATCTTTGTAGAACTAACCCGACTCCAAAACTTAAATATTTTATAAAACAATGGAAAAAAATGTTGTTGATCTGAACGCGCAATTATTGATTTAGGTCTTGAATAAAGATTCCATGACACAAGCCCAGAATTAAATAAAGTTTAATTTCGAAATGGTAGGCCACTCTTCTTCGAACGTGAATATTTTGGGATTTATGGTATCCACAAGTATATACTATGTGGGGCTAAATTATAATAACATAACATGTTTGGCGTGTGTGTCAAATTATTTCAATAAGGCAAATATGATACCAGGGGTTTATTAGTTTAATTAACTGATCAAGAACTGAGAGGGTCTCTCTAATATTTATGTGCTCAATTTCTAATTGCTTTTTTCATTTTATTGTTTCCACAATTAGAAATATTAGCTTAATCCATAAAAATTATGCTAAAAATCATGACATTTCTACAGGACAACAAAATTCAATTGGAAATGCTCTGGCAACCAAGCAAGATTGATTGGCACCTTCATATCGATTATGGGAGCAACATCACTCACTCTATATAGGGGTCCTACCATAAAGAATCATTCATATCCGGCACTCTCTCTTCAATCATTGGCCGTGCCACCGCAGCAGCGCCTTTTCGTGTTCTTGTCAGCCCATGAAAATTGGATTCTTGGTTGCATTTTTTTTGCAGCTTCTTCGTTAGCACTTTCAGTATGCAACCTTATCCAGGTATAAACCGTTCACTCTTAGGGTTCTCAATATTTTTTTTTTAGCCAACTTCTTCCCCAGATGAAAGTTTAAATTTTGTCGAACTGTCTCGTACAACACTCTCCTCGTGTACATGTCAGATTTATCTTTTTCTCGAAAACTTGATACGAACTTTATAAATGGATGAAGACGAGATTTGGGCTCAAGATCTTTTTCAACTTACGTTGAATTATTTGATCTAAATTATATTGTTAAAAGAGCAAACACATTTGTTATTCCAATTTATTATTCAACAAACCCTTCATATACGTCCCATATCCATTTTTTCTTATCGAAATTTTCATAAAAGATGACAACAAGATTTGAACCCAAAGCATTCTCCAACTAATGTGTTGCATCACATTGTCTAAAAACTTGCTCTTAAAGAGGAACACATGTATTTGTTTATATTTAATCTTCAATGTTTAATTAGATTACTCCTATTTTCATCTTATTCTTCTGAGTCAGGTGGGAACCGTCAAAATATACCCACAAGTGATGAAAATAATCTCTTTTTATAGCTTATTTGGAACAATCCAATCTGCTGTACTTGCTGCATTTATAGAAAGAGATCCCAGTGCGTGGAGATTGGAGCTTAACTTGGAGCTCTTTGTAATCATTTTAACAGTAAGAACACGTCAACTAAATTTGAATAGTTTTTCCATGTCAAAAGCTGTATATAGAGACAGCTAATGTGTATGTATATATTACAGGCAATTTTTACTAGTTTGATCCGTAGCAGTGTCCACATATGGTGCATGCGTATGAAAGGCCCTTACTTTGTGCCCATATTTAAGCCAGTGGGAATTCTCTTTGCAAGTGCATTTGGTTGTTTACTCTTTGCAGATACTTTTCACTATGGAAGGTAAAAGTTTCTCTACAATTTGAAAATAAAATTTTCATCACTGCATTCATTTTGTTGCTAGATTTACTCGAAGATCTAAAGCCATTTTATTTTCTGTTAAGTCAAATGCACACCAAACATGGTGCAAATAATGGAAATTGCTATTATAATGTCAATATTCCATATCGTGCTATCTATGAATATATCTTTTTCTTCAGTTAAAAAATATGTTTTATATCTTATATGGTGCTTGTTTATGCAGCATGATGGGTGCTATTGTCTGTGGAGTGGGCTACTGCACAGTTATGTGGGGACAAATCAGAGAGGATGATGAAATGCACAAAAACAGTGGAAATTCGTCATCACCATCAGATGACGAGAAGGTCCCTCTTCTGCAAGAAGACTCACAAGGACGAACCCTGATGATATTTTTATCAAAGAATTAGGCCAAAAAAATGATGCAAGATTATGATTTTTCATGTGAATAAACTGTACATAAGATTGGAAGGGTGTGTTTTTCAGGGCCCTCAATCTTAAATTTGAGCAATATATATACAGTTGCTCATTTGTCAAATATGGTTTTGCAGTTCAATGTACATATTTGTAATTTTGACAAGACATGGGCCCTTTTTATCTCTCTTTTATCCTAAGAAAAATGTTACATGGCATGTTTGTCGACAAGGATTCGGTATTGTTCATTATATTGTCCAGTATTACTACTTTCCAAACATACATATGTTTAAGGAGAGATTGTAAATAGATATATAGACTGTGATTTTATAATTTCTTATATCTTTATGTAATTATGCAAGGTGGGTTTGTACTCAACAAGTATTTTGGAGTAAGAAGAAATTGCATAAATCTTTGTTCAAGTAACCATTACTAAACAATTGTTTTAAGATATTCATATATCATAATTATAAATTAACTAAAACAAGAAGAATATAAATAGTTATTTACTAAGCTGTATGAAATTTTGTTGTCGAATTTATCCTACTAGTGAAAGTATGGTGAACAAGTAATATTGTGATTAGTAGACTTTTGAATCTACAATGACTGATCATCTACATATTTGCTTTTATTTTAACTAGTCTTAACCAAGAAATATACACAACTAATCATTTAATTTATGTTTTAACCATATCTATTCTTGAAATTAATCAAATCACAAAACGCATTATGATCTCAAATCCTCCATTGTTAACAAACTTTAATCTTCAGTTATCAGTTTATGATCAACTCTTACCTAGGGTGAAAATCAATTGTCCAATTATAATCAATATCCTATCTTGAAGTCAATCAATCGTTTTTTGGTAACCAATAAATCTCGGGCAAGGATGTTTAAACGGTTTGATTTAAGTTTCATAGGCCTCGATCGATGAGTGAAATTATTATGAACACATGAATCGAATGGCTCGATTAAAAAATAATGCGGGTCATTAGAGATATCTTTTATTAATGTTGCTCATGATCCAAAAATTTTCTTCTTGAAAGGCTCCAATTTTGTTTATAACCTCAATCTATATATCCCTCCTTTTGGTTATTGGAACCGTGTGTGTAATTTTGCAAGAGTAAACCATGGTTGCCCTTTTTCTCTCTTCTTCGTGCCTTTGAGATTAACCTAGATCCTCCATCGTTTTCTTTCCTTTGTGGCTTGCAAATCACAACCATATTCTTGGCCTTTGCGGGGGGAGAGAATAAGAAGCAACCGAAGTCAATATCATAGTTGTAGGTTGAGCTTTTGATTGAGTGTTGGTTGGTTTAAAATGAGCTCGATAATCACCGAATCGAAGATTTTGGAGCAAGCTTCCGCAACATTATACTTATATGTGAACTTAATTATCTCTTATTAAATTATGAACATATAAATATGTATCAATTCACAAAGATCTCCAAATGATTTTATAGGGCATAATGATATCTCTAGGACCTTATGTTGTTTATTATGAAGACCAGAAAAAAAAAAAAAATCAACTCAAAAAATAAGAATTAAATAAAAATGAGCAATTAATTAGTCAAAGAGCTTACAAGGTTTCATCTTTAATTATAGAGTTTATCCTATCATGTTTTGATCACAGAACAAGACAACTATCAAATATATAATCCGAATAGCTTAGAATAAAATTTGATACTAACCTTCATCTTGAATCTTTTTAACAATCTCGAACTACACTTTCTTCTTTTCCAAAATCATTCAGAGCCTCCAAAAGTTTCTTGAATTTTTTCACCAAAATTTGTGTATTTCTCTGTAGATTTTCCCTTTTTTGTAGAGGGTCTCATAGCAGTAGGCGAACCAATATAAATGTAAAGGGCCTCATAGTGGTAGACGATCCAACATGAATGTAGATAGTAGTGGCTATCGACTCGGCCCGTATGCCCACGAGCTTGGCTCATGCTCATCACGAGCCGAGCTTGTGGCTCGTTACTCACGGGTCGAGCTTGGCTCTTGAGCTCGTTAATTTTTTTTTTAAGATATACATTTTTTCGGAAAAAAATAAATAAAAAAATAACCCTTCACAAAGACGAGCCCACGAGCCGCTCACCCATCTCGTCATTTGCCAAGCGGTCGAGCCGCTTGACCCGTTTGCCACCACTAAATGTAGAGGGCCTCATAGTAGTAGACGACCTAGCATGTGGTGCTCTACGTAGAATGTAGATTGAGTAGTCTTCTCCTTATTGGCTATAGTAGATAATTTTTGTTATCTCTAATATCATTAGCCCCTCTATCACTTGTCGATTTTATCGATAAGTGGTATCATATTCATTCTTCTACGCTAAGGTGGTATTATTATTATTATTATTGTTATTATTATTATTATTATTATTATTATTATTTTACATAACGACATTTGGTACAATGTAAGAGGGTTGAGCAGTCCAAATGGTGCAGGGTAATGGAATACTATACAAATGTCACCCCATGTGTAGGCTTGGTTTTGGGGGGAAATTTCCCTCCAAAAATTTCAAAATTATCATCTATATAAGAAAGTGAAAACCTCCTTCTTTTCCCACTCATTCATTTGCAAAAAAATTATCTCTCTCAAACTCTCAAGATAACTTCTTCCTCTTCTCTTACTTCATCTTAGTTTTTTTCCTCCTATCATGTATAAAACCATCTTAACGTCTTCATCCGATGAAAGTGATAGTGAAGGGGTGAGCAAATTGACTGACCCACCGTCGGATGGGCCGGCGTCGGTCCGAGCGTCGATGCTAGACAAGTTGGTCGACGTTCGTCGTCTAAGACGGCCGCCCCGAGGTGTTGATTGATTCTCCCATAATTTCAATAGTTCAACCCATTCGGCTGAACCTCTTATTTTCCAACCGAGTTTTCCCAAGAAACACATTGGCTCGATTAAGTCTTTGAATCAAAACTTGAAAATTGGACGAGATCCGGTGGGCGAGGTGGTGGTTCTTGAGATTCCAAAATGCTATAGCCTTTATAATTCCCCACTTAAATTGGAAAAATCACTTAGCAATTTCGAATGTACAATTATATTTATAGAGCCTCCAGGCCCAAAGAAAGGCTTCCAACGTCCAACCCTGTGAGATTGCTATGTATAAAGACATTATGGACGATGACTTTCGATTCCCCATCCATCTCTTTTTTTGTCTCAATTTTTAATGAATTTTACCTCACTCCTAGTCAAATAAACCCTAACGCGTGGAGGAAGGCTTTGTATTTCTTGTACATTTGCCTCAACAAGAAGATCGCACTCTCAATAAATCATTTTAGGTGCGTCTTTGAGATGCATGAGCTAGCTCAGTATAATGCCTTTGTTCTCTTCACCTCTAGAGTCCCCGTGGGCTTCCCCAAATTTAGGAATTTCAACAGTGGGTGGAAATCTTGGTTATTCTTTGTTCGACCTTCCGAGGGTCAATTCCCTTTCAATACCAATTGGACACATCCTCAAATTCATATCTTCAATAGTCAGGTCGAGCTTACTTATCTTTCAAGAGCGCAAATCGAGCAAGTGACTGATACACCACCTCTTGCACTCGACCTAGGGTCAGTTCTGACTATGAGAAATATGTTGATAGTGGGGATCGGTTGACTTACTGATAAACCTTCTTTTCCTGCTTGTACTTTTACACTTGTATACATTCTTACTTGCTATCCTCTTTTTTTTGCTTAATAAACTGAATTGTGTGCATACAGATATGGACTTTGATTTGGATAAGGTATTAAAGTCTCTGCCCTTGGTGGAGAGCGATGAGGGATTTATCCCTGCTGACGGTTGGTTCACATATTTTGTTCTTAATTTCATATTCGTGTACACCTTTATTTGTTGTTCTCTAAGCTTGATGGACTTTACCTTATGTATACAGGTAAAGAATTCGACCTGTAGGAAACCATGGACTCCATGCCCGAGCACGGGCATGGGAGTGATGTTGGCCTAACTCATGTTCCATTAAAAAGGAAGAAAACTACCGATAGAGGAGCAATGTGTCGTGCTACTGAGGAGACATCCCAAAATTTGAATGAGCCCGTCGAAGCTATCCCACTGCTCGAGACAAGAGGGGGTAGCTCGAGTCGCATCAGGTCCGAGCGCAAGGCTCTTCTCTTCCAGATTTTAGATTTCTCGCCACTCGAGGTCTATCCCGAGATGAGGATACTCAGGTCTTTGGTTATGCCTCCTCGTACCAGAGCAAAGTGCTAATGACGTAGAAAAGGTTCTGGTGGTCTACACTCAGAGGGTATACTTCCTGATGTACTTAATCGTTTTTGTTGGTTTATTCTCTCGAGCACGCCTATTGGTTTATCATTTTGCCTCTTTGCATGTTTCGTTGTGGCTTTACAAACTAGACTTGTTGAGTCGAGTCTCCATCAGTCATCAAAGTTAAAACCTATTGCAGAGGAGAAAAAGAAAGAAGCTCGCCACTACAAGAAGAAAGTTTCTTCTTGAAGAAATCTATCGAATCTTTAGAGGCCCAAACTCACGAGTAGGAGACATAAATTGATAACCTGCAATCTATTTTAGCTCGAGCTCCTGAGAAGGCAGTTGAGCGATATAAAGATTCAATGGAGCATTCCGGTGCACATCGCGGGCGGGAGCAAATGGACTTCAATTCGGGTTGACATAGTCTTTTGTTGTAGATCTTTCAGCACTTTCTACCATTATTTGTTTTTATCTTTTGATTGTCTAGTGATTTCTTCTTGTTCGGGATGTGGACAAACAATTACACTTCATTTTGAGTATGGAAGCATTCTTATGAAACATTATTATTGCTTAGTTTTTTAATTATTTTTTGCTCACCACTATGTGTCGAACAATTTAGGATTGTAGAGTACGATGTCTAGTGATTTTGAGTTTTAACCATTTCTTAGTTTTGAAAACTCACCATCAGACTATAGAGAGATTTTGAGCTAATCAATTTTTTCATCGCTATGTGTCGAGCGATTTAGGATTGTAGAGTATGAGTCTAGTGATTTTGAACTCTAACCATT